GTCCCTCTACCCAAAACTAAAATACAATTTAAAAAAAGGCTATGATGGGAAAGAATTCAACAACAGAAACACATTCCCTCGTTCCACAAAACTTCAGACAACGGTTCAGATGAAAACTTCAGGACGCAAGCGGTGTTCTCAACTTAACAGAAACTACTATTGTTTAAAGATGTTGTGTACTATAAAAAAAACTTTCAGAAGCATGGCATTTTTAAAAAAAAACTTATGTGCTTCCAGAAGTAGAAGGGATGGTGATGGAGGAAGAGGAGAGGAAGGGGGGGCAGGAGGCAAAAAAGGAAGAAGAATGTAGATTGTAATGGTCAAATAACATTCAGGGGACCAACGCAAAGTCACATCCCAGCTGCACAAAGACATCCAAAGTCTCTTGACAATTTCACATGCCAGGTGCAGAAGCTGACTTACGGGTTACCATGTCAGAATGCACTGTTGAATTCAAAGTCATATACTTAAGATTAATTAAGAAATGTTGACATAAGAAAAAGAGAGGACCCAGACCTCTTATATTCATTCTCCTTTCATAGGTCTGCAACCCAGTTTCTATATGTTCTGTCCTGTTCCATGCTGCAATGTATAGGAACAGTTACAGCTGTCAATTACGGGAACACCCAAGATAAATATCGCACGGGCCTTTTTTTTTATTGTAATCAAAAGGACAGCTGTTTGTCATTTCCCAAAGAGAAAGTTATTTCACGTCCTTCATCACCAAAGCATGAAGTCAAAGAGAAAAAAGGGATCCAGAATTGTAGGATTGGATGGATGTGCTACAATTATTAACAGCATATTTAGAAGGAAGTCTCACTATATTAATGGGATTAATTTCCAAGGAGATTATACAGGATGACAAAACAAGGAACAGCCAAACCACGTCTTCCCTTACTTGCTTCTTTTAAAGCTTCCTGTTTTTTAATTAGACATCTCCTTGTTAAAAAATCTGCTCTGTTTCATGATTTCTGTCGATCTGGAGATTACCATGCAGTTGCTCCCCAATTAAAATTTCATACCATCTCCTGGCTGGATTTTATAAAGCTTCAAGAAGCAGTAAGTCTCTCTGCACACAATGCCGTAATATTTTACTAAATTAGTCTGCACAAAATACCAGTCAAGACTTTACTTAAGACTTCTGCAAAGTTTCATTGATTCTGCCTATTTTCCCAGACTGCCAAGTGGATCTAGCAAAACTCCTTTTAAGAGATGCCCCAAAGCTCGGGCACCAAGATTTGATTTTTATTTGATGTCATTGCCCTTGAACTAATATAACTCATGTCTCTCCAGATACAAGTGGCTTTAGGAAGTAGCCATCTCTGTTTCAATTTGGTTTAAATAATTAGGGGACGGAAGGGGCTTATTATACATTTTCTCCAACCCGCCCACATCATTTTAACTTGACATGGTTTAAAGACAGCAACTTCACAGAGCGAGCACAAGCTAAAGACATGATCGTCCTCTTTGAAATGAAGGAACCGCCTTAGCCATCTGTTCCCCATCTTATTTGAATACCAAGCGGCGAGAGACCTTAAAGTAGAAATTATTTTATCCTGCAAGAAGCCTAAATGCACCAGAAAAGCTAGTGTTTTTAAAAGGGAGAAATCAACACTGCACACAAGACACCAAAAAGTGAGAGTAAGTCTGTGGAGATTCTCCAGAGATCGTGGTTATCCCAAAGGTGCTTTTCCAAAGGCAACTGGACTTTCTTGGTTGTTGTTGTTTTTTTTCCCCTTTGAAAAGAAGCTTCTTTAGTTCTGAAGTTCAGTTCTGAAGAAGCTTCATAGATGGGAAGCGAAATGTTTTCAAACAAAAGAAAAAACGAAGTCCAGTTGCCTTTTGGAAAAAGCACCTTTGGGACAGTCAGGCTAAAACGCTACTTATACGCTACTCAAGACTTTGATTGACACATGTGGAGTAGAGGGAAAGAAATTTGTAGGAAGAATTTTTTTTTAGAATTTTAGAAATTTGTAGAATGGAATTATTTGGGGTTTCTAGCCCTCTAGAATTGGGGCATAGCCACTGGAAGTGATAATGCAGAGAGTGTAAATAAAATAAAGCAGGTTTTTATACAGGCAGCAAGTTCTAAGGGGGAACATGTACAACCCCCCCCCAAAAAAATAACCTTCAACTTGAGAGAAAAACTTCTATCAGATTTGCCAAGTAGTTGCCCTTCAGCTCAATCCAACTGCTTGGTGTGTTCCTTTTAAACTAAACAAAAATAAGAAAAGATAACAGAGTATAAAATGTTTTCAATAATAAACAATGATCTAATAATAAACAATGAGTAGAAGCGAAAGTCTGCAAGCTTTGTATTCATTCTAGGATCTCAGCAGGCACATTAACAAGACAATCAGCTTTGAGGAAGCTTAGTTTCTTAAAAATTAAGAAAGTTTGGTCATTTTGATCAGAATTGGGATTTTTTTTTCCCTCCCTAATCTTATTCCCACGGAAATCTTCCTCTGCTCTGAACGTTCTTGTATGCTTACAATATGGAGAAAACTTTTCTACATATTGTTTTACAGTCTGAGATAAAAGAACTATACTATTTGGAGAAACTGAGAGCCACTTTCTGACTCTTAAGTATTTCAATAACTCGGGAGACTGTAGGGCAAATACTACTTTTGAGAATATTCCTTTATGTTGCTTTACTAAGGAACAGTTCCTAAGTGGACATTCAGTTCTGCGCTTACACGACTCCTAATGTCTTCAAGTAATCTGCAAGGTGACATCCTCTTTGTGTATTGCAAAGTATAATTCCAAGAATTTAAGGAAATACGAAGTTTTAAAGTTTCATAACAAAGGGACTGGGGATAGTCTCACATACGTAAAATTCGAAGACCAAGCATAGTTTTGGTATCTTAATGAAAGAAGTGCAGATTTTCATTTGTATTAACAAACACAAAAAACAATTGTCAAAACCTTGAATTAATCTGATTATCTATGTATATATAAAAACATGTTTCCTTGGTTGTATTTTGACTGAGCAGACAGACTCACGTATCTCTCATATGAATATTGCAAAGATTTTTGCAATAAGGACATTAAACCAAATTATTTCCAATATTATTATATGATCATCTTTCTTTTAAGAAAATTTGCTCCAGGCTTTTTTCCCTGCTTTGTTTACATAATCTCATTCAACCACAACTCCCCTCTGGGGAACCAGCATGCAATAAAGGTTTGTCCCATTTCTGGGGTTTACAGGCAAGGACTGCAGAGAGCAGATGGTGGTCTGCATAAACCTTGCTTGGATCTTTTCCTTATGGAAGGATCTTCAAATTGCAACCCAGTCTGTCTTGCCACATGTGAACCCAGCAAAGATCTGAGGATCTTTGGATCTACCACTACTAAGATGTGACTATTTAAGATGTCCAGCACCCCTTTATCCCAGCATCCTGAAACTTAAAACTCAAGGAAAAACCAGCTTCTAAGCAGCTTCTATCCCAAAGAGATTTTTTCTATTAGAGCAGATACAATATGCAAAATTCAGAGAAAAGGGTTAAAGGAAATTGAAATGGTCCTCTTTTACTTCTTCAACTTATCCTTGTCGAGTCAGAAGAAGTTGTCTCTAGGTTAAACTGTTTTAAGACGTTCCTGTTAAATGCAACCTCGGAAGCTCTTTCTTCCAAATCGTTTCTCTATTCAATAGTCAACATTCCCTCCAAAGGGTGCATCTTTTAAAGAAGATTAAACTTCATATAACTCTGAACTGGATATGGAAACTGAAGTGGAATTCAACAGCGTCCTAATGAAAAAAAAAATTCTTCCTGTTCCAAAGGAGACCCTTGTTTTTCCCCAAGCCAAAATTAAGAGCACCCAGAAGCACCTTTTTTAAAAAAAAGTGGAACTTATTTTAAAGCATAATGTGCAACCTGGCCTTAAATCCCAAAGTCTGTGCCCACTCCCACTTGCTTGGGGGCAAGGGTGCAAAAGCCTTCTGTCCTGCAACACCCCTGAAATCAAATGCCTCCTATTTTAAAGCATGAGCTTAACTCCACATTGTCCGCATGGGGACTTAATAAGAGGCTGGCATCACTGTGGTCAAATCTCATGGTGTGTTCCTTGTTCCTTGACAACAGTAAAGTTGTTTTTGCAACTTAGCTCCCCATCTCAAAGAGCCTACTTCTTTTACGGCAGGATGGAGCCAATTCCCCAGAACCTTGCTTAAAAGTTGGACCATGGCACCCCCTCTCTCCTCCCCTCTCTCGACTCCCTCCCCTTTGCCTTCCAAAGGCCCCTCATTTTCAGCCCCAAAGTTTTGGGTTCAAATCTCAACAGTCCCAGACAAAGTCATTTGGAAAGACCCGGAATTCCTCCCAATATATATATATTTTTATCTGAATGAACACCCCCCCCCCAATTGAGGCAGGCAGGCAGGCAAGAGGGGTCAAAAGCTGTCCCCCACTCCTTAAGTTCCCCAATCCCCGTTTGCAAGTTGTCCCCACTATCCCAGACAGCAAACTCCCCCCCCCCAAAAAAAAGGTTTCTTCTCGGACTCGCTCCGGTTTCTTAAAAAAAAAAAAAAAAAAGGTCCCAGATGCCAGAGGAGGTAGAGATCCTGGCCTTCCCTCTCTCTCTTTCTTCCCTCCCTTCCTTCCTTCATTTGTTTACTATTATATTGTGTGCATCTCACTTTCTGAACGCAAAAGAGCCGCTAAGCTGGACTCCTTTTTAACCACAAGCCGGAGCGGGCGGTGGGGGAACCACAAAAGCCCCCGTTAAGAGACCCAGGCCACTAAGCGCGACCTCTCTCGCACCCCGCGCGCCCGTAACCCCGTTCACACGTTCCGAAGCGAATTCGCTCGCCAAGGCGGGGTTTCTCCCCCCCCCCTCTACTCCAGGCGTCCGAAAGGGATGCTTCCTCCCTCCCTTCTCTACTTCTTCCTTCCCCCCCGCCCCAAATGACCGGTCTTGTCTCCTTTGCCCTCACCCAACTCCCCCCCCCCAAACACACGCGCGCACACACACAGACACACACCGGGACCCGCGCTCACCTGGCGTTGGTGCAGTCGCCGTACAAAGTTTCGAAGTCCCGGCGGGTGATGAGCTTGCAGCGGTTGACGCCCGGCTGGATGGCGCCCAGCCCGCGCAGGATGCGCACTTGCTCCACGGTGCAGACCACGGGCGCGATGTCCAGCCGCTTCAGCTTGGTGTAGACGGTGTGCAGCCCGCCGACCAGGTGCTTGAGGAAGAGGTCGAAGACCTGCGGCAGGCAGATCAGCTCCTGCCCGTCCACCACGAAGGAGGCCACCTTCACCCCGTGCAGGTCGACCATCTTGCACTCGTTGCCCCCCGCCACCGGCAGCGAGGACGAGGCCCCGCCGGCTGCCCCCGCCGCCCCGCCGACGACGATGCCCGCGGGCGCCGCGCTGCAGGAGAGGAAGCCGTGGATGAGGCTGCCGCCGCCGCCGCCGCCGCCGCCGGCCAGCCGCGGGGACTCGGAGGGGCTGGAGGAATAAAGCGGGTCCACCGCCCGGAACAAGCCGGCCGAGCCCCCCGCGCTGCTCCCGCCGCCGCCGCTGCTGTTGTTGCTCCCGCCGCCGCCGCCCCCGGCGCTGCTGCTGCTGCTGCTGCTGCCTCCGCCGCCGCCGCCGCCGCCGCTGGAAGTTGCGGGAATGCTCGGGGGGGAAGAGACGGCCATGCTCTCTACTCCGCCCCGGCCGCCTGGCTCGGCGTCGCCGTCGGCAGCCGCATCCAACCCGGCCGGCTCCACTTTTTCCTCCAAACTGTTCGCGCTCCTCGAGGAAAGGAGGCGAAGGCAGCCGGCGAGCGCGGCCAGGCGGGGGAGGGACCCCGCCACGGACACGCCTCCTCCCCGGGCCGGGCCACGCCCCCTGGCCCGGGAAGCGGCGGCGGCTGCAGCAGCGCCCGCCCGCCCGCTGGTCAGTCCAGGCGCCGCCTCTCTCGCCCCGCCCCCCCCCCGCCCCGGGACCAAGCTGTCGAGGGCTTGTGGGAGGGGTCCGCCTTGGCCCCGCCCACCCGGGGGGCGCCGGTCCCAGCCCGAGGTGGAGCGGGGGGGGGGGTCGGAGGGAGTCGCGCTCTCCGTGCTGCGGGCGCCCGGTTGGCGGTCGAGCCGCCGGCCAAGTAGCTTAGGCAAGTGGGTGGGGCTGCTGGGGAAGGGCGCCAGGAGCCGCTGATGCCCTCCCCCGCCCTCGCTCTGCCTTCCCAGGGCTGGGCGTGCACGTGTCTCTGGGGTCGGACCGCCTGGCGTGGGAGCCCTTTGTGTGGGTGGGGGGGGGTGTAGGGGCAGCCCGCTTGCAAAAAGCTTGGAGGGTCGCCTGCGGGGGCCGCGGGGAGAGGAAGAGCTGGAGAGAAGCCGGCGGGGGACGCTTGCTTGCAAACTTGTGGAAAGGTGTTGGGACTTGGGTGTCTGTAAAGAGAGATTGGGGTAGAGGCAGACCGAGATTGCTAGTCTTGAATGAGCCAAGACCGGCATCGTTCTCTTGTCGCACCATATCAATACTACTACTACTACTACTACTACTACTACTACTACTACTACTTTTATTATTATTATTGATCATCGCACAGTCAGCCAGATGTTCAAACTGGGTTTGGCATTTTTGTATTATTATTATTATTATTGATCATCGCACAGTCAGCCAGATGTTCAGACTGGATTTGGCATTTTGTCTACCTATCAGTCCTTACCCAGGACCTGGGATAGGCAGATGTGGATGTTTGATGGTATTACAGATATCGTCGCAGGATGGAAGCAGTTCCTAGTAAGGCCGCCTTTTGCAATTGACTAATAGCGAATTTGTCAATGCCAATGGTGTTCAAGTGGTGCTCCAGTTGTTTTGGGATTGCACCCAAGGCGCCTATTACTATTGGTACTACCCTTGCTTGCTTTTGCCACAGTCTTTCTATTTCTATTTGTAGGTCTTTGTATTTTGTTATCTTCTCCAGCTCTTTCTCTTCTATTCTTCTGTCTCCAGGCACTGCCACATCCACTGTCCAGACTTTTTTGTCTTTCTTATCGACGTTGTTGTTGTTGTTGTTGTTGTTGTTATATTTTTATTATCTTTTATTCATTAAACATGAACCTCAGTCAACTGAACATTCAAATTGGCTGGTGCTGATGCTTGACACGGGTTGCTACCAGTATCCTAGATGTCAACCAGGTACCTCCTTAAAATATAACATTGCTGGAGTTATTGCAGGAAGCTGCAGTTTCTTGATATATTTTGCAAAGTTTTTGGACATCATTATTATTATAGTTATTGTTACTACTGCTACTACTACATTTGGTCCTTTTTGCTTCTTGGCCAGTTGAAAGTGGAAACTCTCATCTTGGCTTCACTGTGCCTGCATAGCTGAAAAACTCCTAACCAGAGTGGCTGCATTCACACAACGAAGCTAAAACTAAGCTTACCGTGCTATGGTTTGCTGTTGCAAATATAGGCAATAACTATTTTTCAGCCATACAGCAGCATCAAGCAAGCAAGACTTTAGTTTCAGAAGACTGAAGAAGGTTGCTCAAATGCCTACTAGCGCTGTAGTCCAGACACCAAGCAGGATTGTTCAGCTGCTTTGGGGCTGTCAGGAGTGGGGTTGCAAAACTCTGGATAACTGTCGGATGGCAGCAGAAATAATGCAGAAGATACACTGTTTTGCAATCTAGATCTGATAACTTACATGGAAGCAACCATTGTTAGTTTGATTCACTCAGATTGTTAAGGTGTAAAACGTAGTTTGAAAGCAGACAAGGCTCAAAAAGTTAACTGCACACAATCAGTTGGCCAAAAGCACCCAGCTTTTGATCACACAACCACTAGGATGCTGCAACAGTCATAACTGCAAGAACGGGCCACGAGTCCCTTTTTTTCAGCATGGTTGTAACTTCAAAAATGCTTATAAGTCAAGGCCCACCTTTAAATAATTAATTCTTAAATATTATTATAATTATTATCCTGTGTTGATTTATTATCACTTTGTTGTTTTGCATGTACACTGAAAGCATAGGCACCAGAGACAAATTTTTGTGTGTCTAATCACACTTTGTCAATAAAGCTATCCTATCCTATCCTATCCTATCCAATCAAATTTCAGTCTGTAGATCACAACGCTTCCCACGCTTTGAGCCAGTGCAACTGCCTGCTGTGAATTTGTGTAGCCCAGATGAAGAATTAAACCACAGAGGGAGTTTCAATAATATGGTTACACGGTACCTTACTTGCACCAACTTAAATCAGGTTTTTTTAAAAAAATGTTCTCCCTAAGTGGTTTGCAAAAGCGAAGCCCAATTACAGTTGGCTAATTTGTTGTGAAACAGACCGAGGTAGCACTACAACCATCGCCTTGCAGGTCCAGCGACAGGCAGATTGAATCTACTTTCCGGTGGATCAACTAGATCAGAGGTCCCCAACCTTTGGGGCACCAGGGACCAGTTCCATGGAGAGAGGTTTTTCCGCAGACGGGAGGGGGCGTGGTTTTGTGTGCTGCCTGCATCCCACAGATGGGGCTTTGCTTGTTTGTGTGAACCGGCTGCTAGCATGCCACAGCCAGGTACTGGTCCACGGATCGGGGATTGGGGACCCCTGAACTAGATGCTTGTATCAGACATCCCAAGATGAAGATAGCAGCCTCTCCCAGTGATTGCAATTAGAGTCAGAGATAAGCTGTTTCTAAACATGGTTTTACCTGAAAAGTGGAAAGCACCTTTACGATTTCAAGCCTGCATTATTTTGTAACCTGTCTCCGACGCCTTTTTCTCTGCAGAATTGCAAACTGATGCCACAAGGTAAGGTGTCAGGTCCTCTACAACGGGTCCCAGACCTCGGTCCATGGACCAGCACCGAGACAACGGCATGCCAGAAATTGGGCCACGCAAATAAGAAAAACTCCATCCATGGGATGCAGGCGGCACGTGAAAACATACCCCCTCCGGTCCACGAAAAAAACTCCATGGAACCGGTCCCTGATGCCCAAAAGGTTGGAGAGCGCTGCTGTACGAACAGGTGAGCTGGGCCATCACCTGGAATTAATTTACAAACCATGAGCATTTCCTAAGCAGGAGAAGTGCAGTTCTCTTTCCACGGATAGTTGCTTCTCAAGGGTACTGTTTTTGCTACAGCCTTTATGATTTTATATTGCTTCATGCCACTCTTGACACGAAGAGGAATTGATGTTCAAGGCTTCCGATGGCCTTGCAAAAACTCATCCTTATTTAGAAATCTATTTAGCTTATGGAAGACATTAAAATTGGGGGGGGGGACATTCCAAAGCAAGAAATTTGATAGTCTGGGCGGGGAGGGGGGGGACAAAATTCCTTGAAAGGGAATGAAGGAAAACAACAGTGCAAAACCTATAAATTAGATTTTATATTTCCTTTCTGAAGATTTTGCAGGGGTCTAGTTGTTTAGAGTTAAAGATTCTGACCTTAAAAGTGGACAGGATGTTAAAAAAAAAATTGGGGCTAATTCTCTCAATTATAATTTTGGGTGGTCCAGGCCTTGCTTTCCTCTCAGGAATCTGGAAACTGAATCCTCCTGGCTGCTGAAAAAATAAATGGCTTGAATGTATGTCGATTTTTTTTATAGACTATATAAAAAGTTGACTGGGTTTGCATAAATACACTGAACTAGCCAGTTACACTTTAATGTAAACATATTAAATGAATTTAGCCTTTACGATGACTCAGCGCACCCCTACGAACCCAAAAAGTGAATTCATGGACTAATTCAGGAGTATGCCTGCTTTACAAATCTAGATAGAATATTCCTTTTCTGAAAGAACTGGCTTAGAGAGGTGAATCTGACAGCGTCAATCACAATAAGACATCAGAGAGAAATCAACATTGAAAGAAGGTTACAACTTAAAGCAGCAACTAATAAAAACAAGGCACCCGAAGCAGTTCAATTAAGCATCAATTAAAATGGTCCCTAAAGGTTTGTTACAGGTAGTTCTCTTCTTACAATCACAACTGAGCCCAAAATTTCTATTGCTAAGCGAGACACGTGTTAAGTGAGTTTTGCCCCGTTTTATGACCTGTCTTGCCACAGTTGTTAAGTGAATCACTGTAGCTCTTATGTTAGGAACAGGGTTGTTAAGTGAATCCGCCTTCCCCCAGTGACTTTGCTTGTCAGAAGTTCGCAAAAGGGGCTAATCACGTGACCCCAGGACACTGCGACCGTCATAACTACCAGTCAGTCACTGTGACCGTCATAACTACCAGTCTGAATTTTGATCACGTGACCCTGGGGATGCTGCAACGGTCATAAGTGAAAGACAGTGATAAGTCTCTTTTTTCAGTGACATTGTCGCTTCAAACGGTCACTAAACAAATGATTTGTAAGCCAAGCTTTTACCTGTTTTTTTCCCTTAATTAACCCACCATTTAGTTGCACAGGCTAACCCTAGTTTTACAGTGGTGTTCCCTTCCAACACCCATATTCTCCAAAAAACTTCCTCCTAACCAGTAACTAAAGAATTCAGAAGAAATTGAGTTTGAACATGAAGCTAAGTATAGGATAGTCAGTGTCAACTGCAGGGATCACCTACTATATGAATCCACAAGGCTTCCTCTTTTAAAAATGATCGTTTACGGCCCAACACCATTTTCAGGGGGGAAAAATAAGTGTACAACTGTTGATCAGATATCAAATATAAAGCAACAATAACTTGGTATAAGAAAATGAGAAAGTATTAGTGTAAAGGAGGCATCACATGGTATCTATGAGCCATAACTAACATTAAAGATTTGACCAACTTGCTGGAAATTATTATTTTTGGAAGGGGTTACTTCCTCCATCTCATCTTTCCAATCTTTCTGGAACTTTAAGGTGTTTCAGAATTCTGGGAGTTGAAGACCACACCTCTTAAAGTTGCTGAGCCTCACTGCTTTAATCTATGTTTTGCTTACTCACAATTCATAATAA